AAAAAAAAAAAAAAAAAAAGACCAAAAAACTGAAATTCATTTTCCCACCAAAATATGGGAAAATGAATTCCCAAATTACATGGAAAAAGGGCGTGTGGGTGTATTGGGGGGAGAAAATTTTTCCTTGGGAAATTTGTGCCATCAAACAGCACAAAAGTGAGAAAATATTTTCTATTTTCCATGGAAAATTTAATTTTTCTATAGAAAATGGAAAACAATTTCCATGGATTTGATTGTTGATAGCAAAGTTTTACCATGGAAAATATTTTCCATTTATGCCTCGTACGTGCACCAATGACTTGATTTAGTGGAATTCATTTTCCCATCAATTTTTTTTTTGGACAATTAGAACAAATTTTATAACCAATTGTAAAAAAGAAATTTCATTTTAATAGACAATTTTCCTGTAAAACAAAATCAAACGAACACTAAATTTTGATTAAAAAAATGATTTTTTAGGAAACAATTTTTTTTCCTTTTTTTTTTTTACTTTTCGGCAATGGAAACAAATTTTATAACTAATTGTGAAAACATAATTTTGATTAAAAAAATGGTTTTTTAGGGAACAAATTTTTTTTTTTTTTTTTTTTTTTTACTTTTTGGCAATGGAAACAAATTTTATAACCAATTTTGGAAAAAAATTATCACTTTAATGGACAATTTTCATGTAAAACAAAGTGAAACGAACAGAAAAAAATTCAAAATTTTAAAATTTTCCGAGTGAAAAATTATATCAATCAACACACTTTTAATTAACAATTCACTTGAAAACAAATTCTAAACAATTATTTTATCTGAAATTCATTTTCTTTCTACACATTTTCCACCCTTACAATCAAACGGACCCTAAAAGATCGGTGACAATGATGAATTTTACTCACTTGTGTTTGTATGTTGATACAGCTTTATTTTTGCCAATTTTCACCAGGAAAATGAACTAATGGGTTTGATTCTGAAAATAATAATAATTTTTCAGAATTATTAACTAGGTATTAAATGCCAGAATTTTAATATTAGATTGCTGAAAAAGTATAATAAGCCCATGCTCGTCTCCCCTTCTTTCAAAATTCTTTTTTTTTCTACGTACTCATTTTCAACCATACGGCCACACAATAAAATATTATACACGTAAATTCAAAACTTTTTCCTACTTTATAAAATTCAAAATTCTTTTCTTTCTATACGTACTCATTTTCAACCACACGACCACACAATAAAATATTATACATGTAAATCCAAAACTTTTTTCTACTTTTTAACCACAAATTCTCCCAAAAACCACTATTCAAAACAATGTTTTTTAAAAAAATGACCACCAAACAAAGGCTAAAAGGCACAATCCAAAGACAGAAAAGATATGACAAGTTTGCAAAGCTTAAAAATTCACTTATAAGTTATTTTCAAAATTAATAATTTAATTAATTCAAAGTGAGTTGCTTTGAGAGTAAAGTACAAGTCGTGCTCAAAATATTTCAGTGGAAAAAGTCGACACAGGGCCGTGTCCATTATGCAGATACAATATGGGGTGGAAGTGTAAAAATTTCAAAAAAAGTTCGGAAATATAATTTTACTTGAAAATAACTACTTCTGAGTTTAGCAACGCAGGCTGTAAAACCAACCAATGAAACTAGATTTGAAGATGAGAGTGGTAGACTAATATATTTGACTATTTTCTCATCCAAAAAGGAGAGAAATACAAGCAAACATTGCCCTTAGTTTCTCTTGATGAATTATGATTGAAAATTAAGCGCTATGTTCCACCTTACCTTGAACAAACAAAACAAGTGGTTGAAGAGGACATTTGTTCTTCAAGAAGAAGTATTAAACAATTGAGTGTCGCAACAAATTACCTCGTACAATCTGAAATTCATCCATACAATGCACGCCATGGCTCTTCTGCATCCCTTGAAGTCTCGGTTGGTTTCCATGCCATCTTTTCCTTTGCGAAACTAAGAGACGAAATGCTTGCCAAATGCTCTCCTATTGCATATATTACCTGATGAAAAGTCTCATAAGCATCAAAAAGGAAACAAGGATGTACATAAACTACAAGCGTTACAAGTTACAATTTTTTTTTTTGGATTTTCAGTTCATTCTTTTTGGATAATAAGTAAAAAACAGCAAATCTTCACCAAAAACGTAAGTTTACTTTATTTTAAGCGTACCAAACATGTTGAAACATGGAGCGGGGTGAATGAGAAGAAGAAAGTGGAAATGTAGTGATACTGAATAATGTCATGTCAATCTCATATCTAGATGACTTTTGAAGGCTCATCATGATAAGATTATTATATGTTTTGAACTAAGATAATCCCAACAACTACTGGCCTCACGATAGGTGAAAAGCAGATTAATCAGGCTCCACATGATTTAACTTGTTCCGTTCTTTTTACTGAATCATCTAAAATGACATTCATGCCTATAAAATGAAATTCATGCCTCAAATTCAGTTGCACAATGCACCCAGTAGGATCTAAGTTTCCACCTTAGCTCGAACAATTTTGATGTTTACTGTAGGACTAAAAGCTCTCGAGCTCTAGAAAAGAGACAAGCCAAGTAGGCTAGTTTATCTGGGTAGCATTTGTGAGAATAGCCAAATAAAAGTATCATCTTCAAATTTACTCGTTCAATTAATTAGAGTTGTGCATGCAGGTTTATGTATAATTAGTAGCACTAGCTATGTAGCAGCAATATGAACATTGTGCAGAGGTGTTTTTCAACGTCCCAGGTACCGAGTCATATTCACTTTTGCCAACTTTTGTGCAAATGCATTAACTGGTCAAAACACAATAGTTTTGTGATTGTTCTCTCTTTTTGTTTTCGGGGTCAGGGAATGGCAAACCAGTAGTTTAGAAGCACTGACATCTTTGACTTAAACAAAAACAGAGAAAACGTTTTAGGCGTACATGGCACACTAGACCACCACGTTATTCCAGAGTATAGGGTCAAAGTGCAAGGCGAGGCACAAAAATGACCAAAAATAACCATTAAAAGACAATACCGTAAGAAGATAATAGCAAATATGCAACAACCTACAAATTTTATCAACAGGAGGAGGAGGAGATATTTTTGTGTCTGGAATTGATATGATTCAGTTATAAATATCAGTATAACGGTCCCGTTTCTTGAATATTCATGCAATTTTAGATTTTAATTCTTAAAACCATACAAGCTTACAGCTTGGGAAGCAAAGACAGCAACATATGGTTCATGTTGAAGAATCATCATGATGTCTCCATATCTTAGACGAGAAAATCGAAGCATTTAAACTACAATGCACAGAAGAATAACCAATGAGACTTCTAAGGAATCGTTTTACCTCAAGCTCCTCTTCGTAGGATTTGCGGAGTAAGCGCTGACTGCTTCGACCAATCAGCACAAGAGTAGGAACCTTGATGACATTGACCAAATGAAGCAGGCAAGAAAGATCTTCATGATTAATCTTCATTGATGGTGATGGTTTTTGCAATGTGGAGCTCAAGCCCTGAGTGACATCAGTTGTTGGGCCTAATTTCATGCCATAAACTGAAACCTTTTCACTAGTCACAAAATATCTATTTTCTAACTTAAGCTTAGACTCAGGAACGATGAAAGGAACTACAAGTGTAGGCATGGTAGATAAATCAGCTCCTGCTAATGAAATCAGAACTTCATTAAGAGCACAAGCTAAAATTGGAGGCTCATAATTCTGAAGGAGCAAGATGGACACCTGTCAAAACCATCAAGCATTCAGGAAAATTACACTAAACTAAAACTAAAATGAGGAAAAGAATCAATTAGACTGCATTTAACGAAATTCAAGTTTTCCAATTCATGACGACTGAAACAAGTTATTCTGCATGAGCAACAAGAGCCACATGAGAAGCAAAGCATGTAAAAAACCATAGACCGATGCCACACAACAAGAAGAAGAAACAACTAAGCTTATCCTCAACAAATTTGGGATCAACTACGTGAATGATTTTCGATTCATTGCTACATACATTTGAAATTTAGAATGCCCAATGCATCTAAATTGTTAACTAACACAACAAGTTCTATAGTTTGATCTTCCTCTTCCAACGTGATCTACTAAGATTAGATCACTATTATAAAAAGGAACCTCTTTAGGTCCATACAAGACATAACCCAACCACCTACAATAGTTTCTTTAATTTATCCATTATCATTTATACCTTTAGTTGTTGAAACTTCATGTCTATTAAACCACACGTCCAAATTAACATTCACATATCCCCTACACTCATCTTATGAACCTTTAAAACTGGCTCTCTTTTAACTTGATAGATATCTTTTTACTCACAAGATTCTTGTAACACTAAGCCTATGTTTTGCCCCCATTTTTTCAAAACTCATTTACGACTACACATTCTCCCCGTAAAATAATTTTATACGTAAACCCAAAACTTTCCTTTAACCACACATTCTCTCACAAAACACAATTGTAAAATGCATTTCAGCCCAAAAATGGGGTTCAGGTAGGAACTAAGACTTGGGCTTCTCTTTGAGCCCCATTTTTTGAGAAATGGATTATTTAATGGTGATTTTTTTTTTAAATGTGTGATTATTGACACCAAAAACTTGCCTAGCTTGCACACGATCAAGGGTCTTGTGTTAGGTGACTTGGTATTAATTAATTGTGTCAAAAGGAATTGGATCAATTGAAGTAATTAGGCTCATTTTGGTTTGGACTCGATCCATTAACCCCCACAACCCATCTTGGCCCATTCCATCCTCTATAAATAGGTAAGGTATCTCTACATTTGAAGTAAGTTTTCACTTTCTCTGGCTACTCTCATTCCCCTATTTTCCCTCGCACTATATATATATACATAT